GGGCACCATCAGCTTTCTTCACCACATTTGCTTATTCACCCGCTTTGTCTTCAGCGGTTGTGTCGGGAAGGTGAGCATCATAGAATGCCAATTTGAGGCTATTTTCTGATGGTGAGGGAAAACTGATTTAAAACAAAAGAGTCTTCTTTGGCTTTTTAAAAGTTCTACTATAGAAGGATAACTTTTGAAACCGAGGAAAGAACAGGTTTGAAAAGAGTCAGGCAAAACACTATGACCACTCTCTCCATAAAGCATTGGTATCATACACCTCTAACTTATGAATACCTACAATTCAAGAAGCAAGTGCATAGAGCATCATGATTACAAAGGGTGAGATTGATGCTTCCAGGTACCACATACGATGTGAAGCATGTCCTGTAAACACTGGATCCACGAGAGATGCAGATGCACCAGGTAGCTGGTATGGAACACCCACCACATCTCCACACATGGAAGAGGAAGGCCTTGCCTCAGCGACCTCTATCGACACTCACTCAAAACTCACTGCCATCGAGTCAGTGCTGACTCAGTCACCCCTGTGGGTTTCTGAGGCTGTAACTGTTTAAGGGAGGAGAAAGCCTAGTCTTTCTCCTGAGAAGCTGCCTGTGGTTTCGATCAGTGGTTCTCAACCTTCCTAATGCCGTGGTGTGGTGACCCCCCAACCATAACACTATTTTCATTGCTACTTCATAACTGTCATTTTGCTGCTGTTATGAAAGGGTCATTCAACCCCAAAGGGGTCATGACCCACAGATTGAGAACTAATTTAGAGGTTCTGAAAACATTGCGTAACAGTATGCAACAAAAAGGGCCTGATTTGTGGCAGAGGGGGGTCTGGTTTTGCCACCACGACAATGCACCTGCTTACATAGCCATCTCTGTGCACCAGTTTTGGCAAAAAACAACATGCCTCTCCTTGGCCCACACACCTGATTCACCTGTCCTTGCCCCATGTGATTTATTTTTGTTTCTGGGAATGAAGAGGGGCATGAAAGGACAGCGATTTGATAACATAGAAGAGGTGAAGAAGAAAAAATAAGGGAGGTGCTGTCAGCCATCCAAACAGATGAGTTTGAAAACTGTTTCAAGAATGGAATAGCAGCTTTGACAAAAGTATTAAGTGTAATCGACAGTACTTTGAATAAGGTTAAATAAGGTTGCTTTGTAAAAATACATTATTTTTCAATCTGTTTTGGGGGGTACCCCTCATATTATTATCACATGATCTGTAGTTCTCCAGTGCCTTTAGCAAGTCTACAGAAAAATATAGTGGTTGTACATTCTCTTCCTTTCCTGCCAAAGGTTTCCACTGCTATGTTAACTATGAAAAGATCATCCCCCTGAGAACACCTGCAACTCAAAAGTGGCCCCCGGGGAAATAAAGGAGGAGCGAGGTGAGGGCAAGGATTCACTTAAAAATGAAGGAATTTGCTAATAATGG